CAACAGCTGGTGCAGGGGAACATCTCACCCAATAGCCTCTTGCCCTGCCAGGAGGCAGCGTGTTGGCTGGGGAGAGGAAGTTGTGGGTTCCTCTAAGATCCTCCAGGAGCCACAGCCAGTTAGAAATGGGGAATCACTTTGTGGCCTGGGGACACCTTCCCTCCAGCACAACTGGTTATCTTGCTGCAGAGACACCTTATGGCTTTGCTATATGGCAGGGAGTTGCCATTCTACACGCACCTGTTCCAGGCTCTCTGCAGACTCTGGTAGCCATGACAGGGGCGGTCTTTAGGGTTCTGCTTTCAAACAACTTTGCAACCACAGAGGTAGAGATTTACTGAAAAATAACTGTTCTCCATTAAAGGTGAGACTCTGAGATGGTCATGAAGCCAGCACCTGGGGCAGTGACTGGTGCTTAGGGATGAATTGGTCCAGCATGGCTTTATTTGATTTCTCACAGAGGAATAAACACTGCTGTTTTCTTTCTAATCCCTGACCTGATGCATCAGACCTTTCAAGAGAAGAAAGAAATTTCTTCTGACTCCAGCCAAACAGCCTGATGGGGATTACGGAGAGTGAAGCTGCTCTCACTAGGAAGCAGCAGGTTTATGAGAGAGAAAGATATTGGGAAAAACAAATGAAAAATTGTGTTTGTCCTCCCTGAGGGGAAATGCATCATTTGGACCAAACTGTCACCTCCGTGGCCCACTATGGGACCCCACTGACCCTAAGTTTAATTGAGAGCAGAATTTGATAGAAAAAATGCTCAACAACTAGAAATATTTTCAGGCTACCTATTTGTAAGAAACTGTAAAACGAGGAAGGAAAAAGATGCCTGGAAATGCAAATCAGTTTCAAGGTTTTCCCAGAAGAAACTGACTTAAGTGATCCCCAGTTAACTTCTTACCTTGGCAGTGCTCTGGGCGAAGCTGAGAACACCCACCACACTGATGCCGACAATTGCAAAAAACAAGATTATAAACAAGATGACCCAACATATCCTGGAGGGGGGTTTCGATTCTGCTGCAGGTCTGCTATCCTGGGAGCCAAGATACACTGATCAATATGTGAGATGGCAAATTGAGTTAAAAACAGAGTTGACATTTATTTCCCTCAGCGGTATGAGCAAAATTATTGTGTGAAATGCACATGAATGATAGCTCTGGAGACTGAAGGCAAAATTTTAGGGCTTGTTTACATGGAAAAACAGACCAGCAAAGCTTCCAAAGCTGAGTAATTATACTGGAATAAACCTGATTTTATTTCAGCATAGAGAGTATCCATGTGGAGAGATATACTGACTCGTTACTGTGGTATAGCTACAGCACTGCAGTTTAACCAGGCGCTTTCCCCATGTAACAAGGTTTTCAGAATGCTTGTGAAGCCACCTGAATAGTCCAGGTTTTGTGAGTGGGAGAGCAGCTGTCTGAGCTTTTGCGATGGTAGGAATATAGGAGAAACTCCCTCAGTGTTCAGTGAGGCATAATTACCACACTTTTTAAATTCCCTGTAATCAACTGTTCCTTGCCCTTCTCCTTACAGAATGTTTGCTTGTATTTTAATTGTCCCATTCAACTTGTTGCTTAATAAGAAAAGCCCTTAAACTTGGGAGCCAGATTGGTATTTCTAATATTTCTGCAGGACTTTTCCAGCAGTTTAATCAAAAAAGGTTAATTCTCACATATCTGCATATATGAAATACTTTGGTTGTAACAATACAGCAGACTGCAAAGAGTCCCAAGTTCTGCACAAACCCAGAGTGCAACATTAGAAGAAAAAACAGCTAGTACAAAGAGGCAGCTAATAATTGCACGCAGGTAAATTTGGCTGGAATCAAACCAGAAGGAAGCTTTTTTATTCTGTCAACACATTGTTAATTCACTTATATTGAAACCCACAATTTACCTGCTTTTGCAGTAGTTGAAATATTCTAGGAAAACATAGTAAGTGTTAAATTGCCCACAAGAGGCAACAAGCAGAAAAATTAGAGGTACTTGTATTTGAACACCTGTCTGCTTAGATAGAAACTTGCACAACAGTAATATGTCTGAGATTTTTCAGTAGCAAATGAAATTGCCCTGAATTTTAGAGACAGATTTACAGTGACAGGAGAAATCTAGTACAACTAAGTCCTGTCTTTCGCACTGCATCTTTCTCTGTAATTCTGCAAATTCTGGAAAGTTACAATATAAACATTGTGATGCATTAGCATCACTGTCATCTGATGTTGCTAAATACACATCCCTAGAATTTCACTCATTTTGTGCATCCTCCCTGCTATAAGTGTAGGGGATAATCTTTCAGGGAACAAACCAGAGGTTTGAACCAGTTGACAGGGAGTCAGCTTGAAGTGGCTGAGGCTCCTTCGAAGTGCTCAGCACCTACAGTTCTTGCTGGGGTCCATGTGAACTGGAATTATTTAGCACTGCTTGGAAACGCAGGCAACTCCTTCTCCCACCCCCCAATATCTGTGAAAATACAGCACTGAGGACCTTGTGGAGGTAAAGGGTACTGAGATCCCTGCCCTTCTGCCAGAGAGAGCTAGGTGCCACAATACTCACTGCAGTTGTAGTCTTGCTGCCACTGCTCCTTCCCTCCATCCTCCCAGTCTAGTTGCAAGCCTTGCTCCTGCAGCTCCTGACAATGTGCAGATTGTGTATGACCAGATCCTCTGAATGTGCCTAGAAACGTAAGCACATGTCCATCATGGCCAAGAAAACTTCCAGCCCTACCATTCAGCTCAGGTGTCTAGTGGAGCTGAAATCTTAGATGCCACATTGGAAGAAGGGGGAATATTAGTGCAGAGTGATAGTGTCATTAGCCTAAAGCAGCTCTTCCTGCCTCCCTGGAGCCAGCTGAAGGCATTTAGGTAGGATACAATCAGAGGCTTTGTGCAGGGCTGTCCTGGCTGGCAGGTGCCATGCGCGTGGCTAGACAGATCTCATTGACAAGGGGATATTGAATAAGGGAGGGCAGCTGCTTGCCCTTGTCATCCAATTACTTTCGGATTTCCAAGCCAGTTCAACCCTGGGCAGACAGCTCTGCATCCAGGACCGATGCCGCATGGATCACGGCAGCCTAGACTCATCTCAGGCTTTACTGACCCACCTCAACCAATTTAATGTGCTCAGTCCAGCTCCCACAAGAGAGAGGATCTGCACCACACAGCTGTTACCAGAATGGTTAGCTAGATCTCTGACACGTGGCCACTCCAAGCCTAGCTTCTGTTCTTATAAATGCCAGAGACTCTGCAGGCCCAAAGAGCAAGGTTTCTACCAATCATAGCCAACCTACTTAAGATCCAGAACCCAGCCCAGTTTCTTCATACTCCTAAATTGCTCTAGCCAGGTTCAGTCTTCTATGGTTTACTAACAGCAGCAGGAACAAAGCTAAGCTGACAACTTACCCTTGGATTTTTCCCCCCCTCTTTTTAAGTCATTTCTTTCCCCTCTGCTCCCAGTATTTCCTTTCAATACATTTCATTCCGTAAGAGGAACAAAGACCAACAAAAGCACATAAAAGTTAGACACTAAGAGCAGAGAAAGTGATGCTGCTTCTCATTATCCCAGATTCTTTCTGTAGGACTTGAATTCAATGAAAACATGAGGTTTATATATTGGGAAACAAAGTCAAAGCTAGCCAAGGGTCTTCCATCCTCCCTGTTCTGGCCAGAGAGGGTTCTTTCTTACCAGCCCTCAACTCCTTTCAAGGTGCGAAGGCAGTAAAAGAAAGTAATGCCAACATGTTTTAAGAATGTGAACGGTGGAGCACACTAGTGTGCATCTCAAAGTAGCCTCACTTCTAATGGAGCAGGGGTAGGCAGTGAAGCAACTAAACTACAAGGTTTAGTTCTGCAAAACAAAGACACAGAAGGTGTCAAGTCATTCCCCAGGCATCCTCTACTTGCCTCCGTGATGATGAAACTTATGATTGTATTTCATCAGACGTCTGTGGAGATCTCTCCCCACCAGTCTGTCCTTCTGTAGATAACATTTCAAGAGCTATGCAACTTCTCTGCACTTTTTCACTCTACCTTTGTTTTAGGCATATTCATACTACCTGTAAACTTGAGACACAAAAATCTAATGAAACCTGCCACCAGATGATTTTTGTATATGTGAACACAAAGGAGCAAGGGATTCTAAAAGCACACAGAGAGGAGACCATACAAATGAGAAAAGCCAAAAGGAAACAGATTTACAAGTTTAATGTAGATTCAAGTATAGGATCAACAATTCCCCAACAGTTTATACAGAGACCCTTGTAACATGATACAAGTCTTCGCCAATGTATTTCCACAACACGTGGGGAACACTGTGAAGAGAGGTAATGGTTTCATTGCATGGAGAGCTGTTTGCAACAAGGATGACATGCAGCAGTGACAAGATTTAATACCGTAATTGGTACTTCCTCCTTTACTTGACATTGATTGAAAATCTATTGACTTTTGATACGCACAAGTCTAGAAAATTAAATCAAAGAACCTATGGTCTCTAAAGCCTGCCCTACCCACAATAACACCACTACGTCCATTCCTACATTAGTAGTGTCAAGAACTAGGTCTACCTGATAGACATGTATTTCTTTCAAGCCTGAAGAAGTCTCCTAGCTGGAGATGTGATACAAGGAAGAGATAACTCGCGTGCTAACAGAATTCGAAGTTACAGACAGATGCTGACATCAATCTATAACTATGGTTATCTTTTGCAAGAACGTTTTCAGCTAATATCCTGGTAACACTGAAAGACATAGTGAACTCTGAAGTTATTGCTGTATGAACAAGGTGACGTGCGTATACATTTCAAGTGTTTTAGGCATGAGGAAATGGTACTGGAATACGCTGCCAGAGTTGTTCAGGCTAAACAACAGGAGGTAAATGGAAACAGACTCTTCTTTTCCCACTGAGACTGGAATTACTGTGGAGTATTGGAACACTCAAATTGCATATGTGATTTCTTGAGCAATTTTTGAAATGCAAAAGCTAACCTATTCATTGTGGGCCCCAGGTCAGCAAGGACAAAAGCTATCCAGCAGCCTGAGCTGGGCATCACCCAGGACCAATTTTAAAACTACTACAGTATAAAAGAATCATTAGTTCTCATCCAGGCAAGCGGCTGATTGCGAGCTCCCACATCAGCCATGCAAGAGGCAGTAAGATTAGGAAGAAAGAGGAAGCACTATGCTGTTAGTGTACTTGGCCAGTACTTTACCACAATTAGCCCAAGTGTGAGAGAGAGAGTTCATTATCTGTATTATAATCGCCTTTCAAGGATGGGGCAGTTTAGAATCTGCAGCCAAAGCTAAGGGCAAGCAATTATTTTGATACTAAAGCACCAGGAAGGTCCGAGTATGGTTTGAACCGACTTTAAAAGAAGTGAAATGATGGATCCAATTCATTCTCGGAAATGCTAACAATAGAGGACATTTCTGTGCTGTTACATACTTATTATATTACTGACTTAGGATGCAATTAGGTCAAATTAACCCTTCAATACTCAGTGAAGTAAATTCCTCCTAGCCTCCCTTTGGAAAACAAAATATGTTCTCATATATTATATTTTAAATATATTTCTGATATATAGTTATTGTCAGGGCAGTTCCTTTATATACATGTTCTTTACTTATACATCCAGTACTTGGACACATATACAGTATACAGAAGAAACTATTCATACATTTTGCACGTCGAACCAGTCCAATTTGTATCGCAAGTGCAACAGATGCAATTAGAAACAGGGTGTGCGCATTTTGATTTCTTCCCCCCACTCCACCCCCAAGTTGCACCAGCTCTGGGCTGCTTGTCTAGGTCAGGTTCCGAGTAAGCAAAGACAAAACACAGGGCCAGATTTTAACTGTGCCGGCCTGTGCAAACATCAGCACAGAGCCAATCAATAACTATGCACTCAGAGGGTTAATTCCCTGAATTAGAGACTGCGCCACACTGTGCCCATCAAGGAACATTCTGCAGGTTTGTATTGGTGAAATCTACTCTATTTCCTTTAGCCCAGTCCAGAAGGACAATCCCATGACACTTTCTATTGCAAACATTTGGCTGTACTTGTCAATTTAAAAATAAAAGACCCACAGGATGACTGGGTGACGCCAAAATGCCCTCTTCTTTCCAAAGTGCATTTTAAAAAACAAATTTGTAAACAAAATCATCCTCAAGAGGACTCCGAGGTTAGAGCTAGCAGAGCTGTAATTTCGAGTGGTGTCGCACTTAGCATGTGAATGTAACCAAAGTGATTAATGGCTGCCCTTCGCTAGTGAGGATACCTTTTCAGGAGCTGGAGAGGGGGGCTTTTTTCATTTCTATTTTAATCTTCAAGTGCAGGAAGAAGGTCAGCTATACTATCAACATAGTAATCAGGAATCAGGTTCTTCCTGGCAGGGCAGTCACTCTCCTGGTGACCTTTCACTTCTTCCAAAGTGGAGACTCCGGTCAGCGTCAGGATGGTGGTGAGGCCACAGGTGTTGCCCATGAGGATATCCGTGTCCAGCCGATCTCCCACCATGATGGTGCGGGCAGGGTCAATGTCGAACTCACTGACCACGCAGTCAAAGATGTACCGGCTGGGCTTCCCAATGATGAACGCCTCGCGCTCTGCCGCAACCTCCACAGCTTTCACAAGGCAGCCGGTCCCTGAGGGCAGAACCAAAAAGCAAGTCAAGCAGGGTGCAGAATTCACAGTTAGAACACTGCCGGTGTTTCACAAGTGTGACCCCTGCTAGGACACATCTCACATCAGGCCGTGGCAGGCAGCTAACAGAGAGCAGGTACAACACCTGTGTGTGGTAGCAGCCTTCAGCCCGTGGCAGGTTGGTCTGCACAGAGCAGCTCAGTGAGAAGCTGAGCAGAGCGACCGCTGAAGGCCCGTGCATGAACTGCACATGCTGTGAAAGCAAGGGGGAGATGAAGGTTTGTGAAGGGCAGGCAGTGAAAAGCTATAGTGTAGAGATGGGAGTAAAGGTTTCCCTTGCTTTACGTGGTACGCGTGTTCCTGAAACTGCAAATTTGCATCTAAGGAACCCGCTTTATTATGCAGCAAATAGGGACACTCCAAGAACCTGACTCAGCTGACACAAGGGAAACCTGTAGCAAGAAGCTCCAGCCCTGGAGGGCCAAGGCAGCCAGCGTGAACCCCTCGGCTTGCTGCAAAGATTTCACAGATTTGGATTTCATAGATGTTAGAGCTGGAAGAGACCTTGTGATGGCCTCATCTTCTCTAAAACCCAGGCAAGGGCTGAGCAGAGGCACCCATGGCCACCAATGAGGCCTGGAGGAGCAGCGCAGAGCCACCGCCCCAACCAGCTCAGGGAGGACACCCCCTGCCCTCCAGAATCCCATCCCCAGGCCTACTTTGGAGACCTGCCCCCTGACCCCAACCCACAGTGCCAGATTTGGGATTAAACTACGTTTTAGGGCCTCACAATATGAGGCGTTTCTAAATAAGAAAAAATGGACATTTTTGTTCCAATACGAATACGAGGGGCCCCTAAACATGGAAAAAAATGGACATTTTGGTTGTAATATGAATATCAGGGACTTCTAAATTAAAATAGGATGTATTCATATTACAACCAAAATGTCACTTTTTTATTGAGAAGCCCCTCATATTCGTATTAGAATATGTGCCTTTTTTAATTTAGAGGCCCCTCATTTCTGTTATAATGTGAATATGAGGGGCCTCTAAAGAATAATAATAATAAAAAAAAAGGCCATTTTTGTTCTAATATGAATCTGAGGGGCTTCCAAGTAGGGAAAAAAAGGACATTTCTATTCTAATATGAATATGAGGGCCTCTAAATAAGAAAAAAAAGGACATTTTTGTTGCAACAGGAATAAGAGGGGGCCTATATATGAAAAAACTGGACATTTTTGTTCCAATACGAATATGAGGGTCTCTGAAGAGAACAAAAATGTCCATTTTTTTCTTAATAGGAATGTGGGGCCTCTAAATGAGAAAAAAATGGACCTTTTTGTTGCAATAGGAATCTGAGGGGCCCTTAAACAGAAAGAAACAGACATTTTTGTTGCAACATGAATGCGAGGGGCCTGTAAGTGTGAGAAAAAGCAGTCCGTTTGCCCCGCATGGGGCAGTGCCGTAACCCTCGCGGGGCTGGCACAGAGTTGGTGCGGACAGCGGGGGCAGTGGTGCCACCCTGGCAGCCGGGAGAGGCTGCTCCCGTGGGTGTTTCCAGCGCCGGGCCCGAAGCGCGGTGTCCGCTCCCCGCCCCCACAGCCCGGCCCGGGCACGCACCAGGGATGGCGGCGCCGCCCTCGAGCGGCAGGCGGTGGTCACGGTTGGTGCCGACGAGCAGGCAGGCGGCATCGCCGCGCAGCAGGTAACGCAGCGCCTGGCACAGCTTGGCATAGGCGAAGTGCTCGTC